TTAATAAAATAAAATAAAAAAAAAAATAAAAAATAATTATTTGCATTGTATAACTAAAAATAATAATAATAATAATTTGTAGGAGCAGGATGTTGCTCCATCCTGTCTCCTAAATGGTCTTCCAAGATTGAGTTCAGGTCTCGTCCCATACAGACTTTTGATGAGAACGACCGACATCAATCATATCAAGAACAAAAGGACCAAAGTGCAAAATATGAATTTCAATCGTTAGGAAAGTAATTGACTTGGTGGCAGTAAATATACCAAAGAAAAACCTTGACAGCCATCGATTCTCAGAAAAAGAGAATGCAGAATGACCATCCGTATATTTTATTATCTCAAAATATTTGTTATTTTTTAACTTTTTCTTCAAATTAAGAATTTAAGAATAATTCATGCATTTCTCTATATTACTCTTAAAAAAAGCTAAAAGAAAAAAATAAAATTTTTAGTGCTCAGATAATTAATTAAAATAAATAAATAATGATAAAATTAAAATAAAAAATATTTTTTTATCATAAAAAATAAAAAAATAACGATTAATTTGAGATAAACTTAAAATCAAATAAAAACAGTTACTTTGGAATACCATAGAGAGAAGCAGGTTCAGCACCATGGAAATTTTGGCCATTGAAAGTTAACAATGTTATGTTCTAATATGAGAAGCCTAAATATTTTTCATCAAGGCTACTTCATGAGAGCTTCACTTAAAAACTTCCAAACTGGTATTTCATGGCACAAAGATTATCCAACATCGAGTATTACAGGCAAATATACTTTGGCCAATCATATCAGTTTACTTCTTTCTCAAAGGAAGGCCTGTGACTCACCAACTGCCACCGTCTGCCTCACGAGATTGGTAGAAATCATTTGGTTGTACAATGTTGACATCCTCAAACTCATTGTCATCTGAAAGTAGGAAACAAAAAAATTCTTAGAAAGCCCATAGGACACTAGAGAGAAATTGCAACGTTAAGCATCAGAAATCATTAAGTATAATACAAGCAATTCATGGCATGATGCAATGTATGGTGTGCATGTCTTCCATGGTGTGAAAGGAGTCAGTGGAGTAGTTTCGTCTTTTCTCTTCTATAATAAACCAAAGGAGAGACTACCTATAGATAGCACTTTAAAATCAGAGTCTTGGAATGCCAGATTAATCTGCTAAAATAACTTATGGGAATAGACAGATACCATTTGGCCTGCTAATTAAAGAAGAAAGCAAGATGAGACCAAGAGTTAAATAATACCACATCTCATTATGGCACTCCACACTGTAAGGCCATTTTCATTATACCAAAATGTTTTCCCATTAGCAAAGGCAGACAAGGACATTCTGTAGATTGATTTTAGCATTGTACCCTTTAACCATCACAGTATCATAATTTGTCACATAAAGAACAACATGTGCTAAAATGGAAAAGCCAAAGGCACACTTTACACTTTAAAATTTTCAAATAGAAATCATTTTATGCAATGGAAGCTATGAGTTCAGAACCTAGACACCACAATGCAGGAACATAGTTTCAAGTTTCAAAGGAAAGAAACAGAAGGCAACAGAATGGGTATGTAGCTCAGAAGTCCAATATACTAAAAAGTTCAATGGCCAGTGTAGGATAGTGAAGTTGAAAAGTAAGTTACAAACTAGAAGCTATGAAAAGACATTACATCAATTGCATAATAAACATACCTGGTGTTCAAAGAACATGAGGGTTAGGAAAAGGAACAATGCAAGCAACAAAATACTGATCTAAGAATTTCTTAAGAGGAAATAAGATTTTCTAAGAATTCTTTAACATGCATAAATAGTTGATACTACATAGAGAAGCAACAGATGTTACAAAGGAAAGAAGACAAGACAAATTGATTTCAAGGTAAATTTAAGACTAATTTCAGGGGTGTTTCTTCATTACTTCTTAGAGTTTCTGGGTAAATTGAATTCCATACCAATCCAGCTTAGCTCTTCCCCCCCAAAAAATGGTCATATTTGAGGGAAAAGAAAGAAAGAAAGAAAGAAAAGTAAAGTAAAGAAAAGAAAGAAAACAGAAGGCAAACAAGACCCCACATCATGTTCTTTGCACAAAGAGGAGCAACTTATCATCCATATTTTGGTTTAGGCCTTCAACTACAAGGTTCATCATGTTTCGTCACCTCTTGCACAACATAGGGATAGGAGACAAATAAGAACTTTCTTACAATCAAAGATACAATCTGGTGAAAAATCTTCTTTTCTTTTCTTTTTTGAATGAAAAAATCTGATCATTCATATCAGTTATCTGGCCTTCCTAGACTTGTGAAATATGAATGCAGAATATCTGATTAGTGTTTAATGACTTCCTACACTATTTTTCCAAAATTAGAGATAAGCTACAAAACCTAAACAAGAGTTCATGGATGGTAGTTTGGGCAGAAATATATGCATAAAATAAAATATTGCAAGAAAAGGGCAGAAGATGAAATAAGAAATTCAACCTTTTCTCAAGGTCAGTGCCACAACGGCATCGTTTTCAACCTGATCAGATGGAGGAAGAGGGAACATGTCAAGGAAAACGTAACAGGACAATGGAAAAAGAAAATATATCAGAATCTAACCACCAAAACATCTCTCCCATGCAATGAGAAGTAATACAACTTTTGCTTGTACCTTCTGATCTGCCAAAGTTTTGGGATCCTCTAACACTTCCCCAGTCCCAACTAAGATCAGACGCTGATCATTAACAGCTTGGTCAATTAGGGCATGCAATTTCTGCTTAATATCTAGAGTGGTCTCAGTTGGATCACACTGGATAAAGTAAGTTGTCTTGCTACGCTTTACACGAATATACATAGCCTGTTAAAAAACCGTTGTAAATCAACCAAAGGCCAAGCATCCAGATTCAAATAGAACAGAAAACAAGCTTTAAGTTGCTGCAGTAAATAGGTGCAACTAAAAACACACCATCATTCATCAATCAGATCATAGAAAAAACATCTCTCACAAAAAACCCAAAAAGACCTATACTTACATACATCTCATTCAGCATAACACACAAATACTCGAAAGTTCACGTTTTTCCAGCACTACCAAATTCCATATTAAAAAAAATACAAAAATAAGAATCATCCCAAATTCTGAAACAAGAAAAACCCATCATACATTTTCTGAATAGCACTTCAAATGCAGTAATCTAGCAAGAAGTTTACACGCCTTCTGGTAAATATAGACATTTTGTAAAAAGATCAAAACTTTATCAGCAACAACAAAGGGATCGAGCACATACCATTTTCGACTACGCGTTCAAAGCCCTGATTGCGATATTTGCCGTTCTAAAATCAGAAAATACACAAATAACTTAGAGTTAAAAGTTATCCTACAAAAGATGATCAAAACTAACCTAGGCATAAAAAGGGAAGAAAAGAAAAATAATTGGGTTCCCGCAGTCAACAAATTCAGGAAGAAATTAAAAGATTCGATATTTTTGCTAAGGGAATCGAAATCCAACCTGAGATTGAGAACTCGCGGGCCCTTGGCTTTGGTAGAAATTAGATGCTTCGCTGCTGAACGGCCTTTTTAGCAGGGTTGGTAACCAGGTTAACCGTAAACCCCCCCAGAACCGCCCGGACCTTTTATCACTTGGTGTTTGGCTACGTATATAACAAATATATATAGTTGACTGTTTTACAAGGCAGCATGTACACTAAATGTGGAGTGTTACATGAGAAGTTGTTAATATATTTATAATAAAATTAGTTTTAATATTATCTTATAAAGAATATTTTAATAACTTATAAAATAAATTATATTTTTACTATATAATCTCTTTTATAAAACATGAATCCTTATATTAAATTAAATAAATATACTTTTTGAAAACCACTAAATAAGTCCTCAAATCTTTTCCTAATGTTTTCCCTTAACTTTTTAACTACCATAATTTCACCTAAGTAAGATAGGAAAACATCACATATCACCCTTTTGTATAAAAAAATAATCCTTTGTTTAAATGAAACTCATATTAATTTTTAAATAAATATTGAACATAATATATTGACAAAATCAATGAAAATTAATAGATGTGATTTAATTTTCATCCAACAACTAAATAGTTTAATGATAATCTTTTTTAAACAAAATAAAAAGTTTTAAGTTCAAATAACATAACATAACATAACATATGAATAGAATAGATTAAGAGATACAAAAGTGTTACTTTTTATTGTATAATATAAGATAAAAAAATTGTAATTTTTTTATATATTGATTGCACAACGAAAGACAATACGTTCTCATCCTTTATCTTATTTCACCTTGCATGTCATGCGATTTGAATTCAGGATTTCTTATTTTCAGTGAAAGAAGATTACCATTGAATTATTTAGATCATTAATAAAAAAAAATTATAATTTAATTATTCATTTTTCAAGTTTTGAATTTAATAATTTTTAAATCTTATTTCTAAAAATCCGCAAGAACTAACCGTGTTAGAAGAAGTTGAATGTAACAAGTGAAAATTTTTTAATATAAAGAAAACTAATAACTAAATTGATATTCTTAAAAAAGGAGAAAGTTTTTCTTTATCCTTCTTCCCAACTCCAAAAATTATCTCAGATAAATAAAATTCATAAAAATATTTTTATTTTAATTTTTAACTTCTTTCCCTTAATATTCTTTTATCCATCACACCGTCACAAACTACTTGGAAATTATATTTTAGTGAAAAAAAAAAAAAAAAATTTGTTCTTGTAAGAGAGCAAATGCTGATTGGAGTAAAGATAACTGCTTGCTAAATAAAATTCATAAAAATATTTTTTTTATTTATAAAATATTTTTATTTTTATTTTTAACTTCTTTCCCTTAATATTCTTTTATCCATCACACCGTCACAAACTACTTGGAAATTATATTTTAGTGAAAAAAAAAAAATCTCTTTTGTTCTTGTAAGAGAGCAAATGCTGATTGGAGTAAAGATAACTGCTTGCTATTCTTATCCTGGATTGGAGCAGTTTAAAATTGACCTCCAACCACCCACCGTGCCAACCACCTCCAGCGGTCGCTCCACCTATCAGCTATCGCCCGGAAGAAATCAAGGCGATTGCGGTTAATTTCATCCGCAATCTCTCTGCAAATCCTCGCGGAAATGGGCAACACATCGTCGATCCTCACTCAGTACGACATCGAAGAAGTACAAGAGCACTGTAACCACGCCTGTAAATCCCTAATGCTCTTCATCTCTTGCTCAATCGTTGATAATCAAGTTCAGCATTTTCTAATTATTGATTTGCCCTCCTTGTTTCGGTTGATCCGCAGTCTCTCAGCAGGAGATCGTTTCTCTGTACCAGAGATTCTGCCAGCTCGATCGCAATGGCGGCGGTTTTATCTCCGCCGAGGAGTTCCTGTCCGTACCGGAGTTCGCTGTTAATCCACTCTCTCAGGTTCTTTAATTTCTCTTTCTTGGGATACTGAATCTCTATCTGTAGGCTTTTGTTTACGTTTCTGTGAAATGATTGTGCTTTTCTTTTTTAAATTTGCAGAGATTGCTGAGGATGCTAGATGGATTGAATTTCAAGGAATTTGTGGCATTCTTGTCTGCTTTCAGTCCTCGTGCAAATTTGCAGCAGAAAATTGAATGTACTTCTTCCATATCTTCAGATTATGCATTGTTAATTTTGGCTTTTGATTAACTGATTTCAAGCTTATTTGCTTCTGTTACCATGGCAGTAATCTTCAAGGTATATGATTCAGATGGTAATGGGAAAGTTACCTTTGCTGATATGCTGGATGTTTTGCGCGATTTGACTGGACAATTCATATCTGAGCAACAGAGGGAGGTTGGTTCTTCCTATTATTTTGGTACTTAGTGTAGCATTGTGTTTTCTATATCTTTGATTCTTCCTTTTCGATTTAACGGGAAAGATATATGGATTGTGTCTTTTTTTCTGTGTTTTAGCTGAAAAATGATCACAAGCACAATCAACCTTTTGCTGAGATAAATTTTTTGCTATAAGTAAGCAAAAATATATCCTAGGATTAGATGTTCTATTTTAGGAGAAGTTACTTGACTCATTATTATTGCTGGAAATCCATGTCTCAAGCCATGCACTCTGTAGTTTAACCACTGTCACTAAAGATTTGTCTTTGTTTTGTACAGCAAGTTTTGACTCAAGTTCTTAAGGAGGCAGGCTATACAAAGGATTCTTTGTTAGCTATATCAGACTTTGGAAAGGTACCATGGAAAAGCAAGTTTTTTTTTTTTTTAGATAAATTTATTAGTTTTTCATTTCCTTAAGTAGTTTAAAGTGGGAAACTTGATGGTTTAGATGTTGGTTTGATCTTCTGAGGATTTATTTTGGACTAATCTTTTGGATCTCACCTGTGGTAAATACTCAATTAGTCTGGCATCAAGGAACTAGATGTTAAAGAAGGAAGGGAGTTGGTCTTCATATATTTGTCATGCATAGACTATGACTCTCTTGAGCAAAATCTAAAAGGCTTTTATTGTAACCTCAGTGGTTACTAAAATCTCTCTGTTGAAGGGCGAAAACCATAGGCACAACCATTGGTGGATTTATATAGAAATTTTATGATGGAAATTAAATTAATGTCCAATTTAAGTTTGTGAAATGTAGCAACTTTTTTGTAGCATTTGATTTTTACTTTTGGCTTTCTGATTGGGACTTTTTGGTGGTTAAGCTGGGTAGAAAATAGACCAGAATCAGGACTGGAGTCACTAGACATGACATGTTTCCTTTTCCTTAGTAGGTTACTGAGGTTCAGAATTGATTTTAAGCTTAACCGGACCATGAATAAAATGGAAGAGGAATTATATCTTTAAAAATTGTGTATTCTAAAGGGAGTTCATATTGTGAGTAAATTTTGGATTAGGGTGTGGAACTATTTGCTTTTATTTGAGCATGTTTCTCAAAGCAGATCACTGGGGTCTGTGTTTGTTCCCCGTGTCTTTTCCCACACCATTATTTGTTTCGTATCTGTTCTATGCCATATTACTACTAATAAATTTGATGATTCTAAGACCGTCCTAGATCTTACTCAAGTGATTTTGTGTTATGTCTTTTAGGGTTCCAGCGTATCTTAGTTCTAACCCAATGTCATTTTGTTTAGCATTACAATTTCGTGAGAGATTGTCTTTTTTCTCTGTACCTCATTCCTCCATATTTGTTGTTGGCATAATTTTAATTTGTTTCTGTTCTATAAAGTGTTTTTATGCTGTATATGTAACTTGACTGCACACCTTGCAGATTATTGAGAACTCTGAATTAAAGATGGAAGTTGAGGTGCCAGTGGACTAAAATGAAGGAACCATTTTGATGCTAAAATTTCTTACCGAATTGTTTGACATTGTATCAAGTCAATCTGAAATTGCGGTTAAAAAGTCTTATTATGTATTTCAAGCTCTAATGCATTTCTTGTAAGGTATCGAACCGTAACAATCTTAAGCCTTATTTGATGCCCCTGAAGTGACTCAAACTGTTTTTCAATTTATCACACTGTACCTTCACTTGAGCTACTGGGATTTTACACTGGTGTTTTGATGAATGGATTTTACATTGTTTGGTAGGAGTAAAATGGAGGAGGTAAGGAGGGGAAATAGAAAAAAGGGAAAGAAATATTGTTCTGTCAAACTTTTTGGTACAATGTAAAGGACATCCAAATGATTTTTTCTTAGAGTCTAGATGTTAAGGGTTGAATTTTAAATATATGATTATTAGATATATAGTTAAAAGTATAAATAATTTTATTATTAATTTATTATTAAAAATATAAATAACTCTATTATTAAAATACAAATAACTTTACTATTAAGTGACATGACTGATGCGTGAGAGTAAAACGGATAAATAAACTAAATTTCTTCCATATTAATATAAGGACTATTTTGGTGATTATTTAAATGGTTTGCATTTCACATGCTGCGGTGCTGCGGTTTACTGATCACTTGTTGTACAAAAGACAGCATATAGTTTACACTTTCTTAAGTTTTGGATTTAATACCTCTCATTAACACTTTTAACATACTAACTCTTAATTATTGTCTTTATATATAAAAATAATAATAATAATAATAATAAAAGGTTTGGGACTATGAAGCTAACAACTTAAAAGGTCAAAGAAACTGAAAAAGTTTATTTTGGCCAACAAAAATTTAAAAAGTTAAAAGAAGGATTACGAGAGCCGAGAATCAATTAAGTACGTATATCAACTCGAGTTATCCCTAACGGACACTTCCAGTTCCCAGCTCTCACAATGTCGCTGCTTCACACCCACTGTCCCCCCATTCTCCTTCCTCTCAACCGTCGCAAGACCAACTTCCTTCTCCCTCTTTCGAATCACATACCCGCCTATCCCCGTCGCCAATTGCTGCGGATCTTCTGCGCCAAGAGAACCGGCAAGCGGAGATACCCATCGGAGAAGAAGAAGCTGAAATTGAAGCAGAAAGAAGCCCTACGCACTGTCGATAACAAGTTTGAAGGCGTCTGGAGGCTCTCCAAGCTCGCCGTCTCTGTCCACAACGACCCTGGGAAGGACTTTCTCGAAGTTCACGACGGCCTGCTCCAGGAGATTGCTAAAGTCCTCAAGTTTCCGGTAATACGGCTGTATTAGCATTACGTTAATAATTCCTGTTTGGTTTGGAACAAAGTTCAATTTTTTAGGTTAGTTATTTTTGCTAATCAATGGTTGCTTTGGAAAATTTTTCATACTGTTTCTTCTTAGCCCAGGTTGCCTCAATGTTGCCACCAGAAGCATTTTCAATAGTTCGCAAATCTTTTGATGCAAGGAAGGTATGTTCCCTTGGAAAAAGTTTTTATTGTTCGAGTATACAGCTATGCTACGGTTTGAATGTAGAATGGTGGACTTACATAGTTTCAACACTTTGTATCTTCTCCTGATAGTCTAATGCTCATGATTGTTTAGATGCTGAAGGAGCCCAAGTTTGTATATACTGTGGACATGGATGTTAGTAAGCTCCTGACTCTAGAACCTCGCACTTGGGACTTCATTTCCCGGTTGGAGCCAAAACTTGGGCTTGTAGATCACATGCCTTGTGAAAGAGTCTGCTGTGATTTGTTCAGTATGATACGCAAGCATAAAAGAAACAATGATTGTACCTCGTCAGGGGGACAAGAAGAAAAAATTAGCAGCAGTTCTGGTTATTTATACAAGTTGTCAACAATCAGAAAACCAAAAATTGCAGTCGTGGGGGCTGGTCCATCAGGCTTGTTTGCTTCTCTGGTTCTTGCAGAATTTGGTGCTGATGTTACATTGATAGAAAGAGGGCAAGCAGTTGAACAGAGGGGACGTGACATTGGTGCTTTAGTTGTTCGCCGAATTTTAGAATCAGAAAGCAATTTTTGCTTTGGGGAGGTCATATCTAACTTCAAATCTTCAATTAGTTTAGTATCATATTGCTAATATCATTTTTTATCAGCTGCTACTTATTTATTATGTTTCATAGTTTTTAATTTTGTTATTTGGAAGTGAATTGGTCTTTAAATTCTATTCAAATGGATGAGAGGATAATTACAGTAATCTTCTGAAAATGTGTGACCGGATGAATACTTAACTAATGATGGCTATTTCTTATCATAAACTTTGCAGCATTCATGGTTAGAAATTAGGACTGGTTATGATTGAAGGTAGAATTTGCTTATTCTGATGTAATTTTGGATTTTGAATTTAACTTTGGAGACTGGCTGCAAATAAATGGAAAAATCTGTGAAAAATATTATTTTTTCCATATCAAGTATGCCAACTTTCCAATCAATACATCTGTGAAAATGTTGAAAGAGACCTTATGATATTAGTGAAAGCATCATTGTAAGGACTTATGTATCGCAGGGTGGTGCAGGTGCCTGGAGTGATGGAAAACTTGTGACTAGAATCGGAAGGAATAGCGACAGTGTTTTGGCGGTTAGAACTGTTCCTCTAGACTTTATTTCATATGTCTGTTAGCTTCTTTTAACTTGCTCTCTTAATATTAGTTTTCTGTTTGTACTAGTAGAATAGTATTTCTGTTAGGGAGGTTGTTTGAGCATCACTAGAATATGCTTATTTGCACTTGTAAGCTGATAACAAGTTCTCTTGTTCCATCGATATCTGTTATGGAAGGAAATCTAGTGAATGATTCTCCATTAATGTGGTTCTGACAGGAGATACAGTTATGTCATTAGTTATGTTCTCCCACATGGGCCATTGCTTGCACTTGTTAGTTGATAGTACAGGCCTTGAGTGTGAACAATGATGTACTTCATATAGGGTCAAGATACTTAGCAACTGTTATCTGACTGTTCTCCAAAACATTGTCAATTGGGTAAAACTTTGAGGAGGAAATAAATAATAGATCATCTCAAAAGGCCAATTTCTCTAAAATCATAAGGCCAGCAGCTTATCATCAAAATTGGAATAATATCATGCTCCAAACAATCTAACGAGCTACCACAATAGTGGAATGTGAATGCATGCGCAACTTTATCATGCTTTTCTGCAATTTTGAGAGCTTATGTGTATTCACAGATTGACTGACAGAAATTTTGATATCAGATCATGAACACCTTGGTTCATTTTGGGGCTCCAAAAAAAATCTTGGTTGACGGGAAGCCTCATTTGGGAACAGATAGGCTGATTCCTTTGCTCCGTAACTTTCGTCAACATCTACAAACATTGGGTGTGAGTTGCATGATCAACTAAAATTTTGCTTCCTTTATTAAATATTTATAGATTTTGAATTTAAGATTTCATGTTTTAATGTGTGTAGGTTACTATCATGTTTGGTAAGAGGGTGGATGATCTGCTTATACAAGATGGATGCGTTGTGGGGGTTAGAGCTTCCGACTCAAGGGATAAATTAAAACTGGGTTGCCATACATTGGAATTTGATGCAGTTATTTTGGCTGTTGGGCATTCTGCACGTGATATTTATCAAATGCTTCTTGCTCATAACATGGACTTGATCCCAAAAGATTTTGCTGTGAGTCCCTCTTGTGATTAGTTTAACATCTCTAATTCATATTTATTGGACACCCTATCCCCTATGAAGAAAGCCAGTGTTTCTGCAAATGCTACTGATTGAAAATGTGTCCAGTGCTGCAGTGTGCGTGGACGCACATGATGTGGCTGGCAGGCAGTCGCTTTTGCAGTTATCACGAAGTTTGTGGTAGCCTGGTAGATTCACTTGATTGATAGTAAATTTCTCTCCCTTCCCACCTCTAGGCCATCATCTCCTAGTTTCTTTATTGTTATTGAAGTTGATATGTTGATATAGGTAAACAATGCTATGTTCAAAGAAAATTTCTGGGGCCAGGACTCAGGAGAGCTAGCATAGACATCTTGGCATAAAAGCTGGAAAAAACAATTTCTCAGATGATTTTTGTCTAGCTATAAGTAGAATCTGATTGGACTTCCAATCTTATCCATCTAGGACAAGTGTTTGAAGTTGTTATTATTGGATGATCCAATCCTCTAATTCTTGGTTATTATGAAGGTTGAATATGTGATTACATAGCTTTCTCTGTTTTATTCTTCCCGTCTTTTATTGACAAGAAAAAATATACTATATGATTATTGGTATATTGCTTGAGGTCCATTTTGTGGTCTGAGAAAAATGATTAAGAGAATGAATTATAATTATGCTGTATGTGCTTGAGTTGATAATCAATCATCATCTTAATAATTTGCTTTGACTTAACAGGTCGGTTTGCGGGTTGAGCATCCTCAGGATCTGATCAATAGCATTCAGGTCATTTATTTTTCACATTCCATTTATTTTTCTTTTGTCTGAAGTTCCTTAGACATCCCAATCCCATTTCTTTTGGCCATCTCAATCCCATTGTTTATCATGCTAAAGTAGCTTAGACAATGACAGATCTAGAATTATGTGCTAGAGATCTTTTTTAAGAATTTGTGATGGAACTTTGATTGGGCCTTTCCTAATTTCCATTTTAGTCACATTGGGAGGATAACATCCTTTATCAAGGATTAGGCCTAATCCTTAATATATTTCTGCTAATTTTCTAGAGGTTTTTTTCTTGTCTTAAATTAACAATGATCATGACCCTAATAATTCACTTGGTAAAACTATGCAGTATTCTGGATTGGCCAATGAAGTTCGTAGTGGACGTGGGAAAGTACCAGTGGCAGATTATAAGGTTGCTCAGTATGGTATTGATGAGCATGAAAACTCAACATGCAAGTTGGTGACTTCAAATCGTAGCTGTTATTCCTTCTGCATGTGCCCTGGTGGACAGGTACACTTCTTTTGCTTAGGTTTCTTGGAATGAGTGTTTGAATTATGTTTTTCATTTTCTCTTAAGAGCATGTCAGTTGCTTATTGGACTTGGATCCTGTATGGCCTTTCTGGCTTTTGCATGGATGGGATGTTTTGAACTTCTGATTTACCATATGTTGTTGGTATATTATTGAACCTTTTCAATCAATGAGGAAAAGGAGTAATCTAGTTGGATTCTTTAGGTTGGGCAGGAATATAGAAAGCTATGATAGAAATTGCTTTTCCAGAACAACTATCTGTTGCTGTAGTCACTTAAAATGGAGTTGCAGGTTGTTCTCACTAGTACAAACCCATCAGAGCTCTGTATCAATGGCATGTCATTTTCTCGTCGTTCATCTAGGTGGGCAAATGCTGCTCTCGTTGTCACTGTCTCTACGAAGGATTTTGATGCACTGAATTTCCATGGACCTCTAGCAGGGGTTGAATTTCAGGTAGCATTGGTATTATTCTTTTGATAATAATTATTCACAATAGTAATTTTTTCCAAAGGGTTATTTTATTTCCTAGTTGTCATCACACTGAAATGTGGCCCAGAGGGCTGGATTGTAAAATACCATGCCCTCTTAGAATTTTGCTAAAGCTGCTTTCAGAATTTGAACCTGAGCAAAACCTTCTTGCCTGCTTAATTTTACAGGAACCAAATTCTTCTAGGTTGACCACAGACCCTGTAGGATTGACTATAGTGCCTTCATTCTGTGTAGGCTTGGATATCTGTCTTAACTCGTGAACGCGTTTGGAACATTAATAATTTTATATTTCCTCATAGGAGAAAAATCAATTATTTTATTTACTTTTGTGAAGTCCCTATGTAAATTTTTGCTGTCATTTAAGATGCATTACACAATTTCACATTCTACTTTACCATTTGCCTGTATTGAAGTCTTTCCAATAATTTTTAAGCATCAAAAGTAGATCCTTTCTTTAACTTTGTTTATTGACCTCATTTTACAGAGAGAATTTGAGCAAAGAGCAGCTATGATGGGAGGGGGGAACTTTGTGGTGCCTGTACAGACAGTCAGTGATTTTATGGAAAGCAAGTTGTCAGGTAGATTTGTTATGATACTCATCTTGTTATTGTTCTTTGTTTTTAAGCTTTATAAAGCTTGATTTGCTTTATATTGTTAGTGACATCTCTGCCACCATCAAGTTATCGGTTGGGTGTGAAGGCAGCAAGTCTCCATCAGTTGTTTCCAAGTTACATGACAGATGCATTACGACATTCTATCTCAATGTTTGACAGAGAGGTCTTATTTCCCATTATTCCATGTTGTTTTTACCTTGTCCTTTTGTCAAATGGTCAAACTTAGGATAATTATCTTTCAGCTACCAGGATTTATCTCCAAAGAGGCCCTTCTTCATGGAGTAGAGGTAACCCAATTGCCAATGCCGCATTTTTCTATATTAATTTCATTTGGATATTTGATGTCAAATTGAGTTCTGCTTTCACTTGCTTTAAGTGCCTTTACCTGTTGAAGCTCCACATATTTTCTACCTCAGTTCTTCATTTTTAGCTCCACATGCTTGAAGTCCCCTTCTTATCGTTTTTAACATTTTAGACTTAGCTGCTTACAAATTTCATTTACATTTCCAGACCAGAACTAGCTCTCCCATTCAAATCCCCCGTAGAAGTGACACTTATGAGAGTATATCCTTAAGAGGGCTCTATCCAACTGGTGAAGGAGCAGGTTATGCTGGTGGAATTGTAAGTGCAGCAGTTGATGGGATGCATACAGGTTTTGTAGTGGCAAAACAGTTTGATCTGTTTCATGGTGATATAGAGTCGATTTTAGGAAAGGCTCTTGGCACTGGATTTGTCAAGTATTAAAAAGGAGTTCCTCTCATCGAACTTACCCTGATCGATGACTTGACAACGCCCTCTACAGGAGGATTACAGATTCAACTGGTTTTATTTGAAAAAATGGTGAGGTCCACTTCATTCTATTATTGATGTCATAATCGTGTCTAAATTTCCCACATAAATAATTTATATCTTCAGTTCTTCTGCATTTTTAGTAAAAGTAAGTAACATCTCTTGTTTTCATGCCATTGCAGCTTTGGCAAGACCATGAAATAAGTAACAGGCAGTCAAGTTTTAGAGCTGAATCAAAAGGATTGTCAACATTAATCAAAGAGTTAAAAGTCTTGAAATTTAGATGGACGTTACTCAAACCAAAGACACATAAGGAATTTGTTATTAGGAAACCCAAAAATTATACCAAAAGATTTCCTTTTTCTGTATGATTCAATAATTTGATTCTTACACAATTTTGTTCAATACATTTTGCTTTTTATTTTTTTCCTTTTTTCCCCTTTTTTTTTTTTTTAATATTAAGCAAAGCACATTTATAATGTTTTTGGTCAACCCCTTGTGATGTAATGTTTCTATATTTATATATACAGAGGGTGAGGGGGCAAAATGCATTCGGCGCCCTTTTATACGTAAATTCATATTTTTTGTTTGGGTAAATAAGATAAGATAATACATTATATAATAGTAAAAAATAACTTTCATTTTACTTCCAACAATTTAAATAATTCAGTAGTAATCTTTTTTCGTTGAAAGTAAGAGAGAGATTCTGAATTTGAATCACATGATATACAAATAGAGTGAGATAAGAAATGAGGGATGATTGTTTGTCGTTGTCTAAC